GCATGGCAGAATGGGGTTGGACTAGATGGCCCTTGTGGTCTCTTCCAACTCTATGGTTCTGTGGTTCTATGATTCTTCCTTGGGATGAAAGTGGACCAAAGTATGTGCACCATGACGAGTCCCCATTTCCCCCTTTGTGAATGTAGAGAAAACAATAAGTAAGCTGCCCTCTTGCAATTTAAGTTTGGATGGATGGGTCCAGTGGCATAAAACTTAGACAAAGCAACATCCTGAGCTATTGAATTGTAGCCAGACTTTAGCAGATGTGTATCACCAACATGCACCGGAGGGAGATGCACTTCCTTGCAACTGTGCACTGTGTCATCTTGAATCATGACAGATTCTTCTCTGACTGACTGGTGCCACATGCGCTTTGTTTGCAAATGGAATCGATCAATACGGAGCCAGCAGCAGAGGCAGAAGCAGCTGTGACAAAACAGGAAGATTGTGCAGGTGCATAAAAAATAATCAATCATAGCAATTTTTGTGTTCAGTTACAAACATATCGTAAGTTCAACAGATCAGGGTCTGGACTTGTTAATGCATATGGGAATTATGAGCAGCCGAGACGCGGGAGTAGGGAACATATAATTGCAAGTTTCATTGGCATCATCTCAAAATACAACCACAGCCTGAGCCATCTCCTCCTGCACTAGGGATGTTAATAACTGACTATTTTGTCCTTGCAGTTGAAGAGAAATAATTTGCACAGTTTTCTCTTCACTGTGGAGAAAACAAATAGTTATGCTCACCTTTCGCTTAGTATTCACACATCCTAAAGTGTGGGGGAAATTATTCCACGAAGAAATACAGGTGAGAATTGTGTGGTTTTGCACTAAGAACACTGGCTGGCATCTGGTTCAGTTGTTACAAGATTGTAAGCCAAACTTGCCTGTGTCCCGGGCTGTTCCAGTCTACCTGCCTTGTTTGCCAGTCCAGAAGTGGTCCAGGTGCCATTTGGATATGGGAGAAGTCTCCAGGAGTTCACTGTGGCTTGCCAATAATGTCCTGGCTAGCATCCTTGCCACCTTTGGATGGGTGGAATGGGTGTTTCCCATGCCCCTTAGGAGCTTATCGCACGCCAGCTTCAATCTTCTTCTGGGACACGCCTGGATGTTATAATACGTAAATTGCTGCTGATTTAGCCGCGATGCCGCCGGCCAAGTCAGACTCGGGCCAAAGCCACACTCAGCTGGCACTTTTTCAAAGTCGGAAGTTTTCAACTTCTAAAATTTGGCGGCTGAACATGGCTTCGACCCGAGTCTGACCAGGGCTTTATTTGGCCAGCAGCATCATGGCTATATCCGTGGTGATTTACGTATGATAACATCCAGAGGTATCCCAGAAGAGGATTGAAGCTGGCAAAGGTAAGCCGGCTTATTTGGGCATGTTGTAAGCTCCTTTAGTCTGTGGGAATCCTGTTCTATACATTGAGAAGTGCAGTGGCACTCTCCACACCGGAAGGAAGCTCCTTTCCACCAGCGCAGAGGTTTCACCCAGGACAACCAGATGTCCACCTTTTCCAGGACATGTCCTACATGTGAAAGAGATCTAGGAGGAATCTTATTTTCTGCTGCTCAAGAGACTAGGACCTGGAACAATGGATGCAAGCTACAGGAAAAGAGATTCCACCTCAACATTAGGAAGAACTTCCTGACAGTAAGAGCTGTTTGAAAGTGGAGCACTTTCTCTCAAAGAAGAGTGGTGGAATCTCTTTGGAGGTTTTCAAACAGTGGCTGGATGGCCATCTATTGGGTATGCTTTGATTGAGAGTTCCTGCATGGCAGGGGGGTTGGACTGGATGGCCCTTGGGGTCTCTTCCAACTCTATAATTCTATGATTCTATTTCAGCCTTCTGTCTAAGAGGAATTCCAAAATGTCCTCCATTTTGAGCATGCCTAAGCAGCATGAATTTATCTTTATATGGACCTTATCCCATGGGGCCAAAAGCAGCAAGAATCCACTAAG